AACCTTCCAATACAAGTTGGTAAGACCAAAGTCACAGGTGCTTACCCGATTGATATGTTATACAGTTTTACCGTAACACATTTCCGCAAATTCGAATTTCGTCGCCAGTGGGATTCGAACTCTTGTCCTGCCACTTGGAGGTGCGACAACTTACCAACTACACTAAGTCACCACACCCTTTATGTGTATTTTAGTAGAGTTGATAAATAATAATAAATAATAAATAAATAATAAATTAATAAACCAATTTTTTATAATCTTCTGTTTCTAATTCACTAATCATCAACATATTAATAAAACTTGATTTATACAATTGATGTGTCCAAATTTTTGTTATATTGTATGAAGTTGAGTGTCTTGTTTCCACAATCAGCAAAATTTAGTTTTTCCAAAAGAGTGAGTTAACTGAGTTTGTATATATCAAGTTATTTGTTTATTATTTTCATTTCTTTCTTTTAACTATTCCAGATAATAGAAAGCTTTCAATCTTAGAATTCATTTATTTTTCTTTTTTTCAAAAGTTTAAACTTTTGTAATTATTTTATTAAAAATTTTAGATATTATTAGAACCTTGGTAAGGAGAATTTAATTGAACTCGATTCTCTATTTCATGTTCTAAATCTTATTTAATTTGGTCAATAAGAAAGTTATTATCTTTTCTGTTAGAACTTTAGTAATTAATATTTTCTTCTGAAGAACCTTTAATTATTTCAATATTTTTTGAAATATTTGGTACTTCAATAGGTTCAATTATTTGAAGAATTGTGCTTCATTTTTCACTATTAATAAATTCATCATATAGATTATTATATTCAATTAGGCTTTCTGTTTATTGGATAATATCATCAATTGGGTTTGTTATTTTTACTCCATTTTTTCATTAGTGATAGAAATATTTTGATTAGATATTTCTATAACATTATTTATAATATTGTTGTTTTTCTAAATTGTCAAGAATTGTTTCAAAGCTTGTACTCCTTTGGATGGTAGTTGGTCAAGAAGATTATTACTGGTTTGGCTTCCATTGTTTGATTTGCATGATTTTTATTTAAATAAAAGTTTTTGATAAAATTTATAAAAAAATGTTAATAAAAATGCATCTATATTACAATATACAAGACACATTTTGAGTTTACTTGGCTTAACAATATCCCAGTGTTCATCATGTTGTGAAATAATATCTTTTTCTAGATGTTTTATCTCCTTTTATAAACCTCACTAGGAGGACGTCTGCCCACAATTTTCTTACCTATTTTTTTATTCAAAAAAAATTTTTTTAAAACAATTATTAAAAAATTTTTTTATTTTAAAATATTTAATTTTATTATCTTCTTTAAGAATTTCGATTATTAGCTTCATTTAGAATTTAATAATTTAATCCTCGTATAAAGGCTTCGACTTTAGTTAGCCTTTCGACCAAAGTGGATCAATTTTTTATTGGGTATACGTAACAGGTTATCGGTTTTTGACAGGATCGGTTTTTATCGGATATACTGTATATATAATTTGCTTATATACTATATATACAAGCACAAATCAAAACTGCTTGAGCAATTTGAACAAATATAATACTGTATATACAGTACGTAGTATCGGTATTTGTTAATTTGTTAAATAATAAAATTTTTAACAAGAAATCTTGTATTACTAACACGACACGACTATCAAATTGGATACGATTTGATACAAAATGAGTCAAAACGTATTACATTACAAAAAAAAAAAAATTTAAACTCGAAAAAAAAAAAAAACCTCCCGAAAATTAAGTTAAAACAAAAATGCTTGACCTTAATTTATTTCAAGTTGATAAAGGTGGTAATCCTGAACTAATCAAGGAATCTCAGCGTAAAAGAGGAGCTTCTGTCGAATTAGTTGACCAAGTTATTAGTTTGTATGACGAATGGCGAACAGGTAACTTAAAATTGACAACTTTATATTTTTAAACTGTTAAAAATTTAAGAGATCAAATAAAAAAAAATTACTCACACCGTTGCATTATTTAATGGTCATATTTTATAAAATAATAAGTACGTTATGATTTGGATCAAGTCAAAAAGCAACAGAACGCGCTTCAAAAACAAATTGCACAGAAAATAAAGGTAAGAAAGAAAAGTCTCATAAGGAAAATTAAGTAGAAGAACAATCATATGAAAATGGATATATTCGATTTAATTATTTTAAAAGACGCGTATTTATAGTTTTTTTTTTAAATCTAAATGAAGGATAAGGAAGATGCTTCAGAATTAATAAAAGAGAAAGAATCACTTAATTCCGAGAAAGAACGACTCACTACCCTTGAAAAAGAAAAAGAAGAGATTCTTAAATCTAAAGCTTCTACGATTGGAAATATTGTTCATAAATCTGTACCAGATTCTTTAGATGAGGAAAATAATGAAATAATTCGAAAGTGGGATCCTCCGACAAATGAAAATGGACTTGATATAAAATCGGTTAAGAAAAATGGAATTTTGTCACATCATGAAGTACTATACAGAATTGATGGTTATGATTCTGAAAGGGGTATTTATATTTTTTTATAATAATAACTTTGGACAATTTGAGATAACTTTGAGTATATGTTGAGCGACATTTCTTTTTTATATTTCTTTTTATATTTCTTTTTGTATTTCTTTTTGTATTTCTTTTTGTATTTCTTTTTGTATTTTTTTCGTGAAGGAACAAATATTGCTGGTCACCGCGGCTACTTTCTTACCAATGATGGAGTGGATCTAAATATGGCACTAATTCAATATGGTCTTTCGTTTCTGCGGAAACACGGGTATAAAAAATTACAAACACCATTTTTTATGAGAAGAGAGTATATGGCCAAGACAGCACAATTGGAACAATTTGACGAAGAGTTATATAAGGTAACATATTTATTTACATTAATAAATATATAACTATATATAAATGAGAATTGACATTATATAATTATAAATATTATAATAGGTGATTGGAGATGGAGATGATAAATATTTAATTGCTACATCCGAGCAACCTATTTCCGCGTTTCATGCTAATGAATGGTTTGAAAAACCAGCAGAACAGTTGCCAGTAAAGTAAGTCAAGAATTTAAGATTGTTTATCTATAAGTCTAATAATTATAACAATATATTCAATAACATATATAACAACATATATATAACATTAATAATATTCATATTAATAACATTAATAATATTAAAAAGATATGCAGGATATTCAACATGTTTCCGTAAAGAAGCAGGAGCACACGGTAAAGACACATGGGGAATTTATCGCGTGCATCAATTTGAAAAAGTCGAACAATTTATTATTGCAGATCCCGAAAAATCATGGGAACAATTTGATGAAATGATGAATTGTTCAGAAGAATTTTATCAATCACTTAACATACCATATCAAATAGTTGCAATAGTCTCTGGAGCGTTAAATAATGCAGCAGCAAAGAAATATGATTTAGAAGCATGGTTTCCCTTTCAAGGGGAATATAAGGAATTAGTTAGTTGTTCCAATTGTACAGATTATCAATCTCGTAGATTAGAAATTAGATGTGGAATGAAGAAAATGGGAGATCGTGAAAAGAAATATGTACATTGTTTAAATGCTACATTATGTGCTACTGAAAGAGCTTTATGCTGTATTTTGGAAAATTATCAAACACCTGAGGTAAGAGAATAACGCGTGACCGTTATCGTTATAATGATTTAATGTTATAATGTTTTATGATTATGATTAATTTATGATTAATTTTATGATTAATTTATGATTAGGGAGTAATTATACCAGAAAAACTTCGACCATATATGGAGGGACGGGATTTCTTACCATTTGTTAAACCTTTACCGAAAAAAAAATAAGCTAAAGTTATGTAGCATAATTAATTAAATTCTTAAATGTACTACGGATTAAACATGCAAAGGTCTGGATAGATGTACGTGAATTTAAAATTAAAATTATAATAAATTTGATCAATACGGTATATCTTGCCAATTTTACAATGTACAGATGTATACACGTATACGTAATAATATAGAACGATATTCAAATGTTGATAATAAACACATGCAGTTGTATATATGTAGTAATAAATTTTAACACTCGTAAAAATTGAAAAAACTGAAGAAAAATAAAAATAAAAATTACAAGATAAACAAGATTGCCTTTAAAAAGATACCACAGACACAAGATATATATATATATATTTTTATATTATGCTCATATTTTTATTATGTATAAACATAAAGACCCTAATGAAGACAAAGGGCTCGATTCTTACATACGAGTCTTAAGAGCTTTATAAAAGAACTTTCTTAAATCGAATAATTGGAGTAAAAGTTTTAAAAAAAGTTTAAATTCACACTAAAAAAAAAAGGTTTGGTTGTTATATAATCACCTCTCAGCACCAAATGGAGAGAGAGATGTGGTGAGGTGACTAAGAATAAAGAAGAAAAAAAAAAACTGTCGACGACATGGTGGTTACAAAAACAAAATATTTATGTTTTTTGTACGTTTGTAAAACCACCAGTCGAGACAATTAGATGTAAAAAAAGTGTGAAAAAAAAAGTAATAAGAATTATAGGGGAACATATATAAACTTTACTCCTTCGATTTTACATTACTATATTTATTTATACTACATTATATTGATTTTTTTTGAGCATGCAAAAAAAATTACAAAGCATAGGACGTATATTAAAATGTCTTTAGAAAAATGCATAATCGGCATAATTTCAATAATTTTTTTACTTTGTAATTTTGATCACTTAATATTCTTCAGCTTCCTCTTCTTCACCTTCAAGAGAATCAGTTCCCACCTCCTCGTAATCCTTCTCCAAGGCAGCCAAATCTTCACGGGCTTCAGAAAATTCACCTTCTTCCATACCCTCACCGACATACCAATGAACGAAAGCACGTTTTGCGTACATTAAATCGAATTTATGGTCAAGACGTGCCCAAGCTTCGGCAATGGCAGTTGTATTAGACAACATGCAAACGGCGCGTTGAACTTTAGCAAGATCACCACCAGGGACGACGGTTGGAGGTTGATAATTAATACCAACTTTGAAACCGGTAGGACACCAATCAACAAATTGGATAGTGCGTTTAGTCTTGATGGTAGCAATAGCGGCGTTGACGTCCTTAGGAACAACATCACCACGGTATAAAAGACAACAGGCCATATATTTGCCATGACGAGGATCACATTTAACCATTTGGTTATTTGGTTCAAAGCAAGAATAGGTGATTTCGGCAACAGTAAGTTGTTCATGATAAGCTTTTTCAGCGGAAATGACGGGAGCGTAAGTAACCAAGGGGAAGTGGATACGAGGATATGGGACAAGATTAGTTTGGAATTCAGTCAAGTCGACGTTCAAGGAACCGTCGAAACGGAGAGAAGCGGTAATAGAAGAAACCACTTGAGCAATTAATCTGTTCAAGTTCGTATAGGTAGGTCTTTCAATATCGAGATTACGACGACAAATATCATAAATAGCTTCATTATCAACCATGAAAGCACAATCAGAATGTTCCAAAGTAGTGTGAGTAGTAAGAATAGAATTATAAGGCTCAACAACAGCAGTGGACACCTGCGGAGCAGGGTACACGGAAAATTCCAATTTAGATTTTTTGCCGTAATCAACGGAGAGACGTTCCAAGAGCAAAGCACCGAAACCAGAACCAGTGCCACCTCCGAAGGAATGGAAAACCAAGAATCCTTGAAGACCAGTACAGTTATCAGCGAGTTTGCGGATACGATCTAGGACAAGATCAACGATTTCTTTTCCAATAGTATAATGACCACGAGCATAATTATTTGCAGCATCTTCTTTGCCAGTGATCAATTGCTCAGGGTGAAACAATTGACGGTAGGTACCATTACGAACTTCATCAACGACGGTAGGTTCCAAGTCGACGAACACTGTGCGGGGAACATGTTTACCAGCCCCGGTTTCAGAGAAAAAAGTGTTGAATGAATCATCACAGACACCAACGGATTTGTCAGATGGCATTTGACCATCAGGCTAAAGTGAAATAAGTAAAATTTAATAAAAATTTGTTAGTTTTAATAAATTATATATGTAATCAAGTAATCAAGTAATCAACGTGTATATTATATATACATATATATCACGAATATACGAATATACGAATATGAATATACGAATATATGAATATACGAATATACGAATATATGAATATACGAATATACGAATGGAAGATGACGCGTTATGACGCCACTTTTTAGTGTTTTGAAAGAGAAAACTTACTTGGATACCGTGTTCAAGGCAGTAAAGTTCCCAGCAAGCGTTACCGATTTGAACACCGGCTTGACCGACGTGGATAGAGATACACTCACGCATGTTTAATAATAGCGTTTATTGATTAAAAAAAAAAAAAGAAAAATAGTATGTATCAAAAATATTTGAGAAGAGGAAGCTCTACTATAGATACTTTTGTTTTTTGGTATTTTGGGGGTTGGTTTGTGCTCACTTAGGTTAGGGAAAGTAAGCTAAAAGAACCTGAGGAAAAAATTTGCGGACGGGGGCCGTTTATAAAAGAAAATTTGAGGGATAACACAACAATACAGATCGGCAAAATCCGGAAGTTCACAGGTAATACAAAAAATTGTTAAGTATAAGGTTAGTGATACCAACGCCTTTGACAATCCAAGCATTAATCGTGACATGGCGTAAAACGATAGTAACAGATATCAATATTGATATAACAATATTTAATACTTTAATTGTCTTATCAAACTGCGACTTTCCCAAAACTGTTAATTTCATATTACTAGATCAGACGAGAAAAAATTATTCGTGTCACCTTCATATTTTCAACATTTCAACAAACGACTATATCTGGTAACTCATTTAAAATTCATTGTATATAGTTACAATAAATATTTACATCCCACAATCGTACCCAACTATGTTTTGCATTACTGGCTCGGGGGTTAGTATGCGTGGCGTTGATTATTAAGTCTTACAAACTAAATGTTCACCTTACACGTTGACAAGTTTTAACAATGAGAATCTCGATAATTTTTGATCGTGAAATTTATATTCACTCTTGCTATTTTAATTTTTAAAATAACCAATGATTTCTTTTACTTTATAAAAGACTTTATAATTTGAATATGTTAATTAAATAGTTCTGTAGTTAGCAGTTAGGGTACATATCAGATATCAGATATCAGATACGTATCAGGTATGTACAGTACGTACTGTACTTATGTATACTTATCCTGTTTTTAGAAACAACGTTCCCTGAATTTCTTGAATTCCACTATTTTACATACCTTTACATATTTTTGCATATTTTACAAATTTTTACATATTTTTACATATTTACAAAATAAGCCCTTGCAGATTTTTCTTATTTCGATTAATCGACCATCTTATACTTTTAGTTAAATCTTTATGGATAACAATAATAAATTCTTGTTCTTTAACGCATGTTTATTTACCAAAAGTATCATTGTTACATATGTAAACCCCTTCTAAACGCATTCCACGTAGAGATTCTTTAAATGCACATATCGAAGGAGTGCATTAAAAAGGTGTGTATATATTAGCGTTATATTAGCGTTAGTTTTAATACGCATTAGAGTTTGGTGTTAGGTAATTTGGTCACTAATCATACTGATAAACTTCTTTATTCAGTAAGTCCAATTTATTGTTTGGAACTTTAAAAGTTCCAATCGGATTCTACAAATTTGGTGAATTAAAATAGTCTAATGTGTTTTCTTCAAGTGTAAATAATTAAACTAAATGAATTCGCATATTCATATTTATATACGTACGTACGTATGAATTTATAACCTGCAATTTATGATTGACGTATAAAAAAAAAGATTCTCATACATAGCATATCGATATCCCCTACATATGTATTCATATCTGCTGATTTGGATAAGGAAATCCAATTTTCCTAGGTTAATTTCTCTAGGTTAGAATGCGTCAATTATATATATAATTTCATATGTCTAATGAGGTATGTTACTGGGGAGATTGGATTTCCTTGTCAAAATCAGCCGATATGTGAATTATAATCAGATATCGATATAACAGATAATTGATCCCTTGTGAACTAAAAATTAAAATACCAGATACAGTACTTGAATACGCACATACTATGTATGACATTTGAATTGCAAAATGAAAATACGTACGTACATATGAAATTCTCAAGCAAATATACCAGACACAATGAACACATAATATAATATGTTAACGTTAGATATGCCAACATTACGGTATGCTCTGTCGGTATATTTTGGGATATATACTACAATTTGAATTTATCCATCTCGACCTCATGATAATGATAATAACAATAACAATGTCAAAGACAATCCTGACCCCATGATTAATAAGCAAACAATTAAAAGCTTTCTTATCACTGAATTGTTTAATACGTTTATCCAATTTTGTATACGATCTGCTCTATTATTTAAATTTTTTTTTTATAATAGACATCTTTTAAATAAAATATTTTGTTGCTAGGAATTAATTGTTCAGAGCGAAGCGGAGGACTCATACTATATAATAATAACAAACTTGTATGTATAATCTAGACTAATTTTTTAAAAACAATTTACAAAAAGAATATTGCTATTTATCGCCAGTGGCGATATCGCCGGGGATACTATATCTCAAAAACCTACTA